ACAGGGGTTTGTGAAAACTTTTATTTATTACTAAGAACATGAATCGACCCAAGTCTGAAAACTATTAAAAACCTGAAAACAATAAATAACTGTATTTTTCTAGTACGGGATTCTTCAGGAGTGCCCATTCACATCCACAGCGGAGAAAAAAAACTCATTTCTTTCAGTATCACGTACCGAGAAGTCCTATACTGGAGTGTAGCAAATATCCATTGTTTTAATATTTTCAATAGTTGTCTAACTCTGATCACTTCCTTTATATCGGTAACAAGACAAATTGCTCTTATTGAATAGTAATAATTAATTTCTTTTATAGTTTAAATACAACATCTGTAACAGTAAAAGTGTACAGGTCATTAGTTTAATAGCACAAAGTTACAGTTTTCTATCGATATAATAAGAGTAAAGTTAACAATTAACAATAACTGACTGAATAGATAATTTTCTAGTGTCATGTATATACACTGCATACAAGTATATTAATTATTGAAGTATATTTATTCTTTATTCTATCTGACCTTAAACAAAGTGACTAGAATCATTGTTATTGTTATTATCATCAGTTTATATTTGCTTTTGTTTTTTTTTTGTGTTTTGTCAATGAGTTTAAATAGTTTCTATGTTGTTTTCTATAACTCTACTCATAGATTTTATTGTGATTACTTTCATAAAGTAGTCGGGAATCGGGTGTTGTTAAGCTGGAATGATATATATATATATATATATATATATATATATATATATATATATATATATATATATATATATAGTGTCTGACAAATGAAACGTGTTTAGTGTTCATTTCCTAATTACTGGTAACATGTTAAGTAATAATTAACGTATATTGAATGTTAAATGGTATGTGATAGGAACTGTAAAGTTAAATTTTACTATTATTTTATTATTTTTTGTTATGTAACCTCCAAAAGTCCTGGTATGGCCGGGAGTGGTGAGAGTCAACTCTCCCTCTCGAAATGCTAACACATGGTCACGTGTATACAACCACTGTCAGGGAAGTCTTACCCAATGCCTTCTCGCAGCATTACTGTTGTTTACGAAATTGAGAGGACGAAAAGCGAATATCCGGCGTTTTAACCGGGTGAGTGGACATAGAGGATCCATCTAGGGTAGGGGAGTTGGAAAACCCTGATTTTAAACCAATAGTGCACATGGGCTCCAGAATCGTGAAGGAACAAATAGAGTGTGAACCAATTGTTGGTCACCGGCTACCATGGAACTGCATTTCCTAACATTGCTCCACTGCTTTGTGGATTAAACCTTTAGGTCGAACACTTGAGGTGTGGCCCCCTAAGAAAACCACCTGTTTTGGTTTGGGCACCCGGGAAGTATCCCAACCCTTACGTAAATCGGATGGTTTATGTGGCGCATATCTATTTGGTGCCTCCCTGTACCGATGTTTGTGTTTAATTAAATAAATTTTCTTATGTAATTAAACATGGCTCTTTGAAGTTATATGAATGTTTCACTTATATAAATACTACTCTGTATGTTTAAGAGAAAAATTGGTGTTTCATGCCAAATACTGGGTAATAAATGGTTGTATTGTGACTTTACAAACATCATTGACTAATTCTATGTAAATTTATTTGAACTAGAAAGTTAGGAGTGGTTAAACTAAGATTTGTCATCAGTTCATTAGGTAATCGACCGCTGTATTAAGCTTATGTTGTTACATACTATCTATATGGTTATGATTCTCACGGTAATTCTGACTAGTGACTAAATGCGTTGGTTGACTTGACTAAGAAATAGATAGTAGTGATGTAGGTTTATTCACTTCTTCACTTAATCTAAGTTATGAGTTTTAGTATTCTTTTTCGTATACCTTTTTGTTCCACCTTTTTTATTAAACCATATCGTAAATATTTAGTCTTGTTCTCGTCTCTGTTACAAGATTTTGGTGTTGTTATGTTAATATGGTTTAATTCTTTGGGCCAATGTAGATTTGTTTCAGTCTCTATGTTAATTATAGCTAACTTACATTAACTCGTTTTCATTTACTACTGTTATTATAATACACTATGGGAATAGTTCATTTACTCAAATAATGATTTAACAGGATTATTAGTTGTTTTGCGATTGGTAGTTTTGTCCTAGTATGAAGCTCCTCAGCAGTGCAGATTCACGATCACATTCGAGGGATTCGGACCCAGGGCCTTCAGTCTCGCGCGCGAACATTTAACCTCTAGACCACTAAGCCGACCGGCATCCAACAATGTTAATGTCTAACTTCAACCAATCCACGAAATTGCGCGACCATCTCCTGTTTTACTGAAGTACATACCTATCTCTATCCGATACGGATTAGCTCCACTCGTCACGAATTATTAATTTCAACTTCCCATTGAAAGCCGGAGAGCCCTGAGGTGGTGTCTTATCCTAAGATGCTATTAGTCAGTGCTGGGCACTTGTGATCCTGTCTGGGACTTAGCCCAGGACCTTTAGGTTTTGCAGAGCATTGCTGAGGAGCCTCACACTAGAGTGAAACAACTGTTCATTGCTCTGTCGTTTTCAATGGTACCCCATCTGAGATCAATCTGTGGCAAATACAACCTACAATTTAAACCAATCTCCACAAAAATTCAACTAAATCTTATTTTAGTCGAAAGACAGAACCGAAGCTATATGTGTACACAACCATCTCGTAACGTAATATGCATTTTTTAGGTATGTGGCGTAGTTAAACATGAATTTTATAGCTAAAGTCGTTGAAAGCCGATCTGATTCTACATATCACCTAGTGTCACTGATAATTGAAGTCAAAGGAAGCTATTTTTAAATTTTCCTTAAGCTACGATAATCAGTATTTCATTTATAAATCTGACTGGCAGTAATTTTTAGGTCGGAGTAGAATTTCATCTGAATAGTATCAAACGTTATATCACGAGTTGATTTCACTTAGACTACCATTAAAACTTGGAAGTACTAGACAGCTATTTTTTGTTCATGGTATGGGACTCATTAGCAATGCCCATCCACAGCTCTACGTTTGAGAATCGATTCAAAAGCCTTCAGTCTCTCTCTCGGATTCTTACACTCTAGACCGTCGAGCCGACATCCAGCGGTGTCATTGTCTAATTTACATCAAACCAAATAACATGGAAGTATTATATATGAGTAATAATAGGTCACGTTATCACAGATATATTGGTTCTTTGTCTTCTCTTCGATCATGGACCTTAAAATTACAACTTATATGATGAAAATTTATCCGTTTTTTTCAAATCATATTGTCTATGCTTAGTGTTTCCTATCATCTTTGATACTGTTACTACTTCTACTACTCTGAGATTTTTCCTGGTAATTTGAACTGTGTGTGCTGATATGACGTGATACTTTGAACCATTGCACAAATATAACAGGTTACACGTTGCTTATAACTAACTGAGTGATACTTCGTAGGCCGTAGTTCATTTTATAGACAATTTTTAGTGAATAGAATTGTCAAATCTATCGACCACCTTATAAATGTAAAATATAAGACTCGGTTGTAATGATGATGTTCAACGTTCTTCTTGATTAATGAAATCTTTTGTTGTATTCTCATGCATAGCTTTTTATCCGTTTGTCGTTCCTTTTATTTATAAATGGTTGAATTTCTTTAACTAAAGACTTTAGTAAGTATACTACTCATAATGAGAACAAAAGTTTAGATAATTTAACTCTGTATGGACAAACGAATTAGTACATTTAGGAAGTAGTTATGTGATGAATATCGCAGTTGATAACGTCTGTGAGTAGAATCCAAACAAATTCAAACATTCATATTCACCGAGTTCATAGATGATCATCGACCTTGTTAATAAAGCACAAATTGTAGATTAAATGACGTGTTTTTTATCAACTTCCTGTCATTATCCATTCTTCATTTCAGCATAGCTAATAGCTTAACATAATGGCGTAGGTGCATACACTCTTTTCTTACCTTAAACTGTGAGATTAAAATTACTTTATAACTTTCTTTCTACGAACCAATCCTTTCTCCCTGTATCATATCCTTATATGCAATCCCTTTTTTAAAAAAGAAACATATTACTACCATTGAAGTAACTCCTTCCATGAATTCGGTCCTCATCTTGTTGTGTTAATGAGGTATGGCAACTTGGACCGATGCATATATGTACCTGGTTCTACGTTGTAGCTGACTGACTAACATAGTAATCATAGTTTAGTATTATTGATCAATAAAATCCGTCTAACATTGATCTATTTAACAAATCAAAGCTTGGCTAGGTGACTTTGATATTTAATGGCACCATTCGGGTATTTTTAGAGGATTAATTTTTTCATATGTTAGTCTTATCAGATAACTTCTAATAACCTCAAAATTTATTATCAAACTGAATTCATTATTAACCGAAATATTTCAGTGACAATGTTTCTAACTGATAATAAGTAACATCAACTTGAGTCAACTGCAAGGATTAGTTCTTTCAATATTATTGACAGTGTATAAGTGGTTCAATGATCATATCATTTAACTTTCAACAATCTTTTGTTGTGATTTTAATTCCTGCTTTATTTACTTCAGTTATACAATATCACTATCCTTATTTGTGATTTAAATTCCAGTAGATTAGTACATACTCACAACCTACTTACTTACTTACTTACGCCTGTTACTCCTCGTCGAGGAGCATAGCTGTTATAACTCTGTTTTCTTACGGTTAATGACCCAGCTATTCCTATTGCTTAGTATTCTCGGACACCGATTCACTCGATAAGTCCCCAAATCAGAACACGGTTGAACAGGAAAAAGATTATATTCCAAATAGCAAGTCAGAAGCCAGTAGGAAGCACAATAGGGAAAAACGTCAGTATATTTATAGTTTTTACATAAGAAAAATCCAGAATATTCTCCAACTATCGACTAGCGCTGATTGGATAAGAATTAGCCAATCAGCGTGCACCAAAGCAATCATGCATTGAGCATGCTTTAATCTAGTCTATGTCCCGCTAACAATAGCCCACCCACCAGTACTCTCTACCCAACTCTGTCCTGGACAGTTCTTTCCATTTGTTATTCATCCTTTTCATATCTGCTTCTATTTTCCGATGCAGTATGCTCTTTAGCCTTACTCTCTTCCGCTTCCCTTCAGGATTCCAGGTTAGGGCTTGCCTCGTGATGCAGTTTGCTAATTTCTGTAATGTATGTCCTGTCCATTTCCACAGTCTTTTCCTAATTTCCTCTTCAGTTGGAACCTGGTTTGTTCTCTCTCAAGTTACATTCATTAATATTGCTGAACTTATCCTCAACGTTTTCAATATCCAATAAATGTATCATACTCAACACTTTCGGTTATCTTTCAGTGAGTGAATAAGTGACATATATTTAAATGTAGTTTTCATGAACTGTTTCATTTCAAGTTATCTGAACATATCTGTTATCAACACATCTAATATTATATTACCCAATATACCAAATGATAAACAAACGTAATGAAACTAAAATCTTCATTGAAAATTAGGCTCCAGTATACAACATTCATCTCCTAAATGAACAATGAAAATGACTAAAAGTACTGGATACGACACATAAACACACACATAGACACATTTGAATATTAAAAACTTTCTAAATAACTTCAGGTTATTAACATTCACTAATCATTCTATTGTAGGACTCCTCAGCAGTGCACATCAACGACCTCGCCCGCTGCGAGATTCGAACCCAGGACCTAGTGGCTCCGCGCGCGAGCACTTAATCACTAGACCACTGAGCTGCGAACCAGTAGGTCCTGGGTTCGAATCTCGCAGGGGGTGAGGTCGTGGATACGCACTGTTGAAAAGTCCCACAATAGGAAGAAACGGCCGTCCAGTGCTTCCAGGTTTTCCATGGTGGTCTAGCTTCAACTGACTCATGATCTTAACCGTTGAAATTACTACAATCTCCACAAAACCCATCTGATACCAATCATTCTGTTATATCCCGATGAGAATAATGAATAGGGACTGTTGGGATCTATTTTTGGACTAATACTATAGGTATATTTTTATTGTATAATTGTTAAGTAATTGAACTATTCATATTCATGTTCCTCTTATTATAGGCTTTATTTTGACTTATGAACTGTTACTATACGATTCACCATTCTTGAGTTATATCTGGTCTATCGATTACTACCTCCCACATTCACAGCCACTTTTGTCCAAATCTTGTACAAATGTTATTTTCTATTTTATGGTACAGCGTGATCTATTTAGCTGGTGTATGTAAACCCAGTATATTTGAAATAAATGATTCATATCTCAGAGGCTGAGATTGGTGTTCTAGACTTAACAGGCAGGGCTAGGCAGGAAGAAGGACCGATAAGGACTTCAGACTGCTCGTACTTGTTTTATGCGTCATTGGTATGGTCAATAATTCACTATTCTCTAATTGGGGGTATCGTTGTATCGTACATTAATAGGAAACAGAGCACAAGTTATAACATTCGTCCGCTACCAACTGTTCAAAATAGTATTGTATATTGAAAGTATTTAATATTCAAGTTACATTTCTTGTATTTGTTTAAACACAAAAACGTTTTTTTCAATGATTACCCCCCTTTTTTACATTCCAGGATAAAAAGTTGGTTGATAATTATGTTAAACATGCTACTACACATAATCGAGTAAGTTTTACCCGAGTAATCATGAATTTAATACAGATTTTTGATGAATTTAACATTTGTATATATCAGAAGGGTTTTGTAGATATTATAATAATTTCAATGGTTGAGATCATGAGTCAATTGAAGCTAGACTGCCATGGAAAACCTGGAAGCACTGGACGGCCGTTTCGTTCTATTGTAGATCTGTTGTGAGATAGTAACTCACTGATGACAATGGTGGATGTGTCGCTCAATTTTGTGGGTTGGTTGAAGTTAGACATTAACACCGTTGGATGCCGGCTTAGTGGTCTAGAGGTTAAGCGCTCGCGCGCGAGACTGATATCTCCTGGGTTCGAATCTCGCGAGCAGGATCGTGGATGTGCACTACTGAGGAGTCCCACAATAGGACGAAAAGGCTGTCCAGTGCTTCCGAGTTTTTGATGGTGATCTAGCTTCAATTAACTCATGATCTCAGCCATTGAAATTTGTATAATATAACAACAAACAACAGCAACAATTCAATTATCAACTGTGTTTAGTATTTCTTTAAAGCTTTGTGTTCCCCCAAATTCTAATCTTCTGAATTCTTTATGTCCCCTTTTTTTCTCTTTCCAAATTTATTTCATTGGATTATACTCCTTAAAACCCTAATCTTTCCAATTACTGCTTATACTTTTACTACCTCTACCACTATGGCATTTGAATCGACATTTGTATCTTTGCGCTAATGTGGTATGACAACTTGAACTGATGTACGTAGGTACGAAGTTCTATATTGTTGCTGACTGACTGACTGAATTGTTTAAAGCACAAATTATTGGTCACATGACATAAATATATTGATCAATTCAATAATCACTAACTATTTCTGTAGTTGTAGTTTCGAATTTCAACTAGAATCTATTGATATGTAGTATTCACGTAAAAAGGATTAAGTCATCGACTTTTTTAAAGAGGGGTATTGATACTACTTGGCTGTTCAATAGTTTGAGAAGAGTGCATATTTTGCGAATCGCCTCGATATTACCTTAATTCGCAAGCTTTATAAACAAAGATGGTTGATGGCTAGTAGCGGATTCCAGTTTGATGCGCGTTTCGTACTATTTGGGACTCATTAGCTGGATACCAATAAGAGACCGACCAATTGCAGTGCTAAACATCAATGGGAAGATTAAAACAAACAATACCAAGTGGATTTAAACTTCACCCCATCGCAGAAGCAAGTGGCTATCAAAATTCAGTAGCTAAAAGGATAACGTGGTGGTATTTGGAGCGAACGGTACTGAGTTCGAGTTCCTGAGTGAACATCAGCTCTGGGGTGCAGGTACATCTATCTGACGTGTCTCAAGCAGGACGAATCGCGCGTCCCGTATTCCGCTGCTAGCCACAAATTGTCTTCAAACGTATTGTTCATAGGATTGATAGTTTGGTATAAAAGTTACAACCATAGTTGCATAGAAGTCGTTTAATGTTTGGAATGATTTCATTCGTACAATATTTGTAAAAGAAAGTGTTCATACGGTTCCAAACTATATGATTTAAAATATTGTCCACTGTTGGCGAATTTTAATTCCTTGCTTTTCACTGAAGTGAATTTTCGAATACTTGCACTGTGCATTGGAATGTAACTGTTTACTGACCAATTTATGCACGAAACTCACTTTGGAATATAATGGTTTTACCTGGAATAACTTAGAATTACCTTCACGAGAGGGTTTAACAGCTAGTTATGGGTGATCAAACCAAGACGTGGCATCAGTCTTTGAAGTCACAAACTTCTGTTCTGAGCCATGTTGGTGGATGCAGAGTACTTGGTTGAGGTCCTCGTAACTATCGTAGCTAAATGGTTGAGGACTCTGGGTGACGTGGCCTAAAATCGATCACAATGGCGTAGGTGTATACACTCTTTTTCCTACCTTAAACCGTGAGATTAAAATTACTTTATAACTTTCTTTCTACTAACCAATTCTTTCTCCCTGTATCATATCCTTATATACAATCTCTTTAAAAAAAACAACTTATTACTACCATTGAAGTAACTCCTTCTATGAATTCAGTGGTCATCTTGTTGTGCTAATGAGGTATGGCAACTTGGACCGATGCATATATGTACTTGGTTCTACGTTGTAGCTGATTGATTGACTTAACAGCTAAAAACTACCTTTGTGGTATAGAGTGGTATTACACTTAGATATACAGCTTTCCTCCGTAACATTTCTTAATGTTCAACTTAAGGGGACGTTGAAGCGTATGAGTTGAAAGCTATTAAACTTCATAACAATTGGAAAACTATAGTTAAGTTTATTTTTCAAGATATAAATAAAATGTGACAAGCGAAACTTGACTTCTTAGACAATAGTTCAATGTCAGGTTCATGGAACAACGGGCTGTGGAAACAAATTGAGAGTGATAGATTCAAGTTTGAGGAAGAGAGAATGCTCAGTAACACACAATGTTAAGAATTATTTTGGCGTAATTATGTAACTCTTCTACATATATTACTTTGTGCTTGCTATCTAGCTTGGATCAACAGAACAGAAAGTGAGTTTTTGATTTCTCAAGTTAATAATATGTATTTACATGTTATTCCATGAACTCTGACTAGTTTCCACTTGGTTAATCTTCTATAGGTCTTGGAAGAAGAACAATGTTGGAGAGAAATAAAACGCCGTCATAAAAGATCAAATGAATCTCGTGATCGATCACCTGAATCAAACTGTGCTCAATCAGAACAAGCACTAGATGCTTATGAGCGTGCACTTCGTTCAGAAGCTAAACGCAGTGTAGAGTTACTTTCTGCTCGTACATTACCAAGTGCTGCTGGTGGACAAAATGCTAAAGAGTTTTGGCGAACACTTGCTCGTCGACACTGTGACACTGGTCGTTGGGGTCATGATGGTTGGGATGAATTACAAAATGAAGGTCCTATCCCATTTAAACGTTCTGAAAGTATCGATGATGTAAAATCGAAATCATTGACATCAAGTATAACACCTAAACTACCATATCAACATACTGTTGACAAATTAAAAGAACAAGAAGCATTGACAAAATCAAAAAAGAAAACTAAACATAAATTATCCGAATCAAAATCGAAGCAAAAACATGCTAAAAAACGTAAAACTAAATTGAAGAAAGTTAAAAAGCATAAGAAAACTGACAAGAAAAAGAAACATAAGAAAAAAACCAAAGTGTCTAAACGACGATCACCTACTCCGTCGTCGTCGTCCTCCTCCTCTTCTTCATCTTCTTGTTCAACATCCTCTTCTTCATCTTCATGTTCGTCACCACCTCCGTCACCAGCTCCTTCATCGTCCAGTTCTTCATCATCTTCCTCCCATTCAGCAAGTTCCATTGGAACAGATGATGAAATAGAATGGCAAGAATTAAAAGTGAAATAATAATGATTGTAATAAAGAAAATGTAATATTTTTTTCTTTTTATTACAATGCATTTTGTAAATTAACTGATAGGAATCAAGTATCTAACCTGAATCTACAGAATTTCTTCAATATCCTTTCCCATTTCTTGATATTTTGTCATTGTTTTATTCTTCCTCTTCTCTTTCTTATTCATAACCGATGATGTAATGTAAAAAATAAATCACATAGTTTCCAACTAGAGATGGGCAAAGGTTACGATTCCATCGTACCTAGTTCGGTTTGAATAGCTATGTAAGTAACTTTATGCCTTACATGAACAATATAACTCTAAGCTGAATATATATATGAAGCTGTACTGTATGTAGGTCCTTAATTCTTAATAATTATGGTTTCTGTTTGGTTGATGGAATGAAATTTCCCCTCTTCCTATTTGTGTATTTTGTTATACTTCTGTTTGTATGTTGAATAGGGTATATTTCTTAAGAAAAAGAATGTGCTCTTTCTACTGTTCTTTTTTATATAGAATGTTATTATAATAAAATGGTGTATATAATAATGAGTAATGTTTTATTGATAAATTGTATACTTGAATGGTTGAGATCATGAGTCAATTGAAGTTAGATCACTATGGAAAACCTGGAAGCACTGAACGGCCGTTTCGTCCTATTGTGTGACTTCTCAGCAGTTAGCATTCATGATCCTGCCCCGTGAGATTCGAACCTAGGACCTATAGATCTCGCGTACTAACGCTTAACCTCTAGATCACTAAGCCGGTATCTAACGGTGTTAATGTCTAACTTCAACCAGTACTTCTAGGTTTTCCATGGTGGTCTAGATTCAATCGACACATGTTCTCAACTATTGAAATTACTATAATATCCACAAAAACCCTATTCTTATTTTAATTAGTGAACAGCTTTGTTAATAGGTTTGAGCTTTGCAGATTTCCTTCTTGTAACAAAGGTGTTACTGTAATCAACTACCTCGAATGAATATGCCTTATTGATGAGTGATATTGCGCACAAAACCGAGATTCAAGGATTTGTTTTCGAATAATTTTAACCAAATAATATCAAACATAATGCTCTTAAGTTATCAGCTCCTTGCCATTATTTGAGAAATGAAGGCTCCCTTCCAAATAATTATGTCATGCGCGCCTAGCCTGCTACTTGTGTGGAGAAATCAAGAGTGAGTGGAATGATTCTGTTGGCTAACCAAACCAAATATCTGCACAAACATTTATATTTTATGTCCCTCAGATAACAATAGTGTATTTCTGTTCCGTTTGATAGTTAAGTCAAATCTTGACTAATATCATCCATCCATCAGGATCTCTCCCTTGCCATTCGGCCTTTAGATATTGTCTAATTTCCTCAGCTTATCACAAGTCTGGTGTTGTCCGTTCTTATTGTTACACTGTTATCACCGAATATTATTCGTTGATCTGTCTACTGATCTTTGATAAAGTGTTGTATTGGAAGCATCTCTTTATGACTCTATTAGCTACTTGCACTCATACAAATTACAGTATCTTAGCAGACAGCTCAAAAATATATACATATTTTCAGGAAGTGTTTTTCAGGTTAATGTTTTGTTTTTTCAGTTAACGTTATTATCTTCTTCGAGGACTTCAGGATTCCTTGTGTGAGGTAGGTTTGTTTTAGTTGAAAACGTGAACGCATAGAAGTCAACTCTATGGTCTGAAAGCATAAGTGCGGTGCTAAATCTGAAGGTCCTGTGTTTGACCAGTGTATTCTGTTAAGGGGTTTTATACGACGATGAGACGTGCTTAATAATTTTCGATTCTTACCGGTTATGTAATTAAAGTCAGTCTGTAATGTGAACTATATAGTGAGCAGCCTCCAAAACTCATTCTGAGAAACGTGTCAGTCCATTTATAAAGTCAATTTTAGCATGAAATCAGTTGACTATTTACTGAATTTCAAACGGCGTATAATGATTGTTTATTTAGTGTTCTAATTCTGTCATTTGATAGTTATATGCAAATACAAAACTCTGTTAAGTCCTTGTTTGTATCAACACCCTGATTTTGTGGTGTGAAATCTAACCCATAGTCGTGTATATTATGTACAATGTGAGATTAAAAGAGAAAGTTTCGAACAAACGAACTAAAGACAGACAAACTCAATAATCAATTAATTATCAGTATGGAGTTGTGGCGATTGTTAAGTTTTTGATTAAGATCATGAGTCGATTGATGCTGAACCACTATTAAGAACATGGAAGCACTGAATGGCCGTTTCGTCCTGGTATGGAACTCCTCAACAGTGCACATCCACGATTACGCACGGTTGATTCCGACCCAGTACCTTCGGACTCGCGCTCCAGCGCTTAATCTCTAGACCACTGAGCCAGTATCCAACGATGTTAATGTCTAACTTCAACCAATTCACTAAATTGCGCGACCATCTTCCATTGTACTGAGGAAGTTACCTGGATTAGCTCCACTGGTCAGCTTCTCACTAGGACCCCAAGAATTCCCTTACGAGGCTAGCCACTGCTGAGGAATACTATGCTATGACGAAACGATCATCCAGTGCTTCTGGGTTCTCAATAGTAGTGGTGGTCCAACATCACTTGATTCGTGACTTCAACCAAAAATCAATTAATTGTATATAGTTGTACATTGTATCGTTAACTAATGGTATTTCTAAATTACATTCTCGGATTACATAAGTAACACATTTAAGGGCAAATCATGAAATTGTTGTTAAATCTATTCTCTACATTTTTCTCTAATATATCTAATTTCTAATAAAGTGAACTCTGTAGAGATTATACGAGACAGGTTATAACGGTAGCATTCAACTATATTGTTCATGTAATAATATTAGTAAGATCGAAAGAAAAACACGTAGTCAATGGGAGTAATCAGAATAGAATTGAATGAATGAAATTCGATAGAGTGACAAAAAAGAACTCCTATAATGGGTCAGTTTGATTCGTGATAATCAGTCTAATCAGAGGATAAACAGTTTTACAAAGATTCTTTTGTATAATTTGGTCAAGTTGGAAACATTTCATAACGATTGGCTCTGAAATTAATATGCATCTTATAATCACATTGAATGCGTTGGAGATGCTTATTTGTCAACATTATCCATTAATCGCTAGTTCATATTTGTTAAGGTACTTCTACTTAAGATTTCAAGAAATATCCATGGAAAACCTGATAAATCTCTCGATAATTCTTATGTAACTACTAATATAAATATATGAACATCCTTGAATGAAACAAAAGTTTACCTTAAAAGCCAAGTGAACCTATTTTAATTGTTGTGATGGCAATATATTATATTCTAAATTCATTTAAGCTCTAAAAAAACATAACTCATATCAGCAAAGATGGATAGTGGTTAGCAGTGGAATCCAGTTTGATGCACGTTTCGTCCTATTTGGGGCTCGTCAGCTGGATGTACCTGCATCTCAAGGATGATTTTTACTCCGGGACTCGAACCCCATACAGTCCGCTACAAACGCCATCGCGTTATCCATTTAGCTATGGAGTCCTGAGAGCCACCTGCTTCTGCAGTGGGGTGAAGTTTTTAAATTCAATTGATGTTGTATCTTCCCATTGTTGTTTAGGACTGTAACTCATCAGTCTGTCTCTTATTGACATATGTTCATTCTGTGCGTATTGCCTCGATATTGCCTTAGACCAGTGCTAGTCACTATCCATCTTTGCTAATAAAACTTGTGGTCAAAGGCAATATCGAGGCAGTCCGCACGGGATGCACATATGCCAGTCTTAAATAACAATTGGAAGATACAAGTAAACAATATCAAGTGAATTTAATAAATCATATCAGTTAACTTCATATAAAAATCTTTATCATTCATTTATTGTAATATTTATCGTTTGCTAACTAGGAACTAATTTAAAGATAGATTCTCCAAGTTTTAGTTAGACGTTTACCGATTGTAGAATTCAGTAGTCTCAGGAATGGGATGGATATCATCGACACCTTTGGATACAAAACATATATTATCATTAAATAAAATGAAAGGTATTAACCAATAGATTCTGGCTTAATGAAGTAAAACCATCATTCAAAACTTGAAATTCTCGATCTGTTTTGTGTGGAGGCGTCATGAGTTTCCACTACTAATTAGTTAGTTCTAAAATATGATGAAATAGTTGTTCACTACTCATTGATTTTTAATGTTTATATAGCTGCTATTAGTCTGCTATGGAAACTATCAGCTTATTATTAGTAGAAATTATGTAACAGTCGCTATGGCCCCCGAATGCCCTAGTACGGCCTAGGGTGGGGAGAGTCCACCACCCACCAATAGCATTAGAAGACAGTCATTTTATACTGTGAAACAATTAAAGTCAGACATTTAAACCATTGGATAATGACTCAGTTACCTAAATATCAGACACACGCTGTGAGACCTGAATTTTCTCTGCGAGATCATGTATTTACACTATTGAATAGTCTTGAACTACCACAAAACACCCAGTTGATGCTTTCTTCTCTTTTTTTTCAATGGTTGTATAGCTAAGGTCAGTTCATGAGACAAGCTAAAGAAAATTCAATAGTCTTAAAAAAAAACACATCACTAATATTTTGGTGTTTGCTACTTATATCAACATTAGTAATATATAACACTAGTCAGGAATAGAATATCTGGTAGCAGAAGGTGGAGAAGATCAACGAAGAGAGAATGGGAACAGAAAGCAGTCAGTATGGAAATACAAGAAGTAGTTACTGTATGGTTCTCAGATTTCATTAAGACATTCTGTAATTTTCTATTCAAATACGTTCGATTATCCTTGTTTGGGTGATCCAGCAAATTTCTTGGAAAAGACGAGCAAGGATTAGGAAACACTAAGAAGCGTTTCATTCAATCATCGTTCACTTGAAGTTTTAGCCAGAAATATCAAGGAAGTGAAACGTCACATGTAGAGAATCTGATTGGCTGATTACTATACTGCTACTATGTTTAGTAGCATTCCAGAATCTTCGAGCAACCTAAGGACATTTAAAAATATTATAAAAACCCTATATTATCTGTGTTAAAATGAACCTTGGAGTAAAGTACTTCTCGCATACTTTGCGTCTTCTCTCTCGTGGTTCAGGTCTCTGTATAGTTCTAGCTTGGGGGTTACAGAATAGCTTAAGAAACGAATATAGCGTTCAATTTGCAAGACTTATCAGACCTCACTTGTTTGTTCTCATTCACTACAGTACTAAAATAATACTGTCGTTCATAATGTAATATTACACTCTATTGATGATATCAGAAGTAATTCAATTCATTACTTGTTTATTATTGTAAAAGGAGATGATCTAATGCAGTTTGATTGATTTATAGTATTTTCTAACATAAAACAAGATTGATAAAAATCAATGCACAAACAGAACAAATTATTTGTTTTGGATGTATTATGTTTCATAGGAATGTTGTGAAAGAGACAAGAGATGGGAACAGTCGTTTGGTAATATACTATAACTATACACTAAATATTTGAAGTGATCAGAGTCAGATAAGGCTGCTTACTCTCTCCACTTTTCTTTCTTCTGTTAGTC